AGGCGAAGAAGGTGCCTTTCCGTGGAGCATGTGGGCGTCCCGGCCTTCGCTCCCGCTTCCCCTCCCTGCCTTTGCCGAGGGAAAGAAGGCCTCCCTGCCCACCTGAGGCCTGCCTCGCAGGGAGGCGTAGGACCGGGCGGAGGCTTTGTGACTCCTGCGGAGGCCAGGTGGTGCGCGTGCCCTTCCGCCTGCCGCTCCTCCTGGTATCAGCCTCGCCTCCTGTGCGCCGTGGTGCGCTCCGGGCCCCGTTGGCCGCAAATGGCCGCCTCTCTTCATCCCAGACCGCCTGCCCGTGCAGGCCAGGAAGCTGGCACCCTTGCTGACTTTTCCATGCGTGGTGTGTGTGTGTGTGTGTCGTTTCCGCCTGTGCGTGCGTGCATGCACGTGGGGTTCGTACCTGTTTCCATTTCTTGCTCCACCTGTCCTGCAGGAAGAGGTTGCAGGTGGCTGTTTGTTGGGCGAGGTGACCCTTTACTCCTGCGTAATCTTTCCTGTGAGGAAATGAAAGAGGCTGCCTGATGTCGAGGTGGGGGGGGGGAGCATCCTCTGGATCCCCACCTCCTTCCAGCTGCCTCCCTCTCTTTTGCAACCTGGAGGGAGTGAGAACTGGAGCCGTAGAAGGTGTTTGTCTGTCCTTCAGGTGCCACTGGGAGTGGGAGACCTCCAGCTGTGGGTCCCTCCGGGTATTGGTTTTGGGGGGGGAGGGAGGGAGGGAGGAGGGCCCCGAATCTCTGGGCTGACACCCCCACCCCCATCCATACACAGCCATTCCCTTTGGGTCGGCCGGGCCGCCCAGTGCTTGTGGACGTGGGACCGCAGAGGGGGAGCCCCGGTTTGGATCTGTCAGGGAAGGAGGAAGAGGAGGAGGAGGGAGGCTTTCCCAGGTGGGTGGAGGGTGTGCGTCTGCCTGCGCCCTGATGGACTCACATTCTGGAGGAAGAGCCCGAGGAAGAAGAGATGGGAGCAAAGATGGAAACATTTCAGTCCTGAAAAACCTCCCTCCCTCCCTCCCACCAAGCAGCTCTCTTCTAAGTAGCCCAAATGGCCGGTGACTACAAATCCCAGCATTCTCAGGAGGTGCTACCGCCTGGGGATCTGGGGTGGGCAGAGATGGGATGGAGCCCCCACCCCCCACCCCCACAGGGTGAGCCCAGCCCCTCCGGGGTCACATGGAGGTGGCAAGATCCTGTTCCTGCTTTGCCCCCTCCGCTCGGCTCTCCTCCTCCTCTCCTGCTTTTCCCTCCGGGGCTCCCGTGGTCGGCTGGCAGGCCGGCTGGCCTTGCGCCGCTCCCC